CGCCAGCTACCTCCGACCAAGCACCCGGTGATTCTCAGTTTAGATGGCGGAGGGGTGCGCGGCATAATTCAATTAGGGCTGTTACGGGCTTTAGAGAAGCGCATTGGCATTCCGATTGCGTCTCTGCCGGATCTGTGCACTGGAACTAGTGTAGGTATGTACAACTACTGGCCATGTTTCTTATGGTTGTTGATAGACTAACAAGCCTCGTCTTCAGGCGCATTGTCGACGATTGACCTTGTTCTCAATCAATCTTCAGTCACGCAGTGTTTCAATGCGTTCCCGGACCTGGCGCGAAACATTTTTCGTCGTTCATCAAAAATCCCAATTCCTCGTTGTATCCGGTGGCTTGCCTCGGCGTTCAACTTGACCACAGATGGTCTTTATGACTCCGATGGGCTGGCACAAATCTTCAAAGCAGCTGTTGGCCCATCTCGTCGCATGTTCGATGTTGCCACGGCTCGCCGTGCGGGTTGCCGGATCGCCATTGTGGCAAGTCGCACCTCCGATGGTAAAGCCTGCGTATTGGCCAATTACCGAGGAATAGGACCGCGCACCGCGAATACCGCGTATCAATTTTTGGCGCCACATGACGACCAGGAGAATCCTTTTGTATGGGAAGCGTAAGTCGACCCTCGGCATCTACCCAACTTGAACAGTGGTAGACGATTTTCTAACACTTTGTTTTGGGCAGAGCAATATGCAGTGTTGCAGCACCCTTGTGAGTTCAAACACTGAGACATTGTAATGCGCTGACACTCTCTAGTTACTTCCAGACAAAGAATTTGCCAGGCCTTGGTGTCTTGCAAGATGGTGGGGTCCGTGCGAACAATCCGCTCGCCATTGCATTGCGAGAGTCGGGCATTATCTGGCCCATGGCGAAACGACACGACCTTCTCCTCTCNGTCGGAACAGGCTTCTCCACATCTACCCCCAGTGATCCAACGGGCTTCCTGGGTCGAATCTGGGAGGGTGCCCTGCCTCGACTGTTTCGGGCCATGATGTCCTCTCCATCTATGGACGGAAAGCAAGGGTTTTTGGAAGCGTTGAATTACCTACCCCATCTGTCGACGCAAGATGCTGTCCGACTGGACCAGGAAATCGATGGAACATTCCCTGAATTAGACGATGTATGCTGGCTGGAAGCGATGTCGAATATGGATTTTGCAGTGCCAGATAAGCTTGTGAGGACTGTTCTCGCGTCCGCCTCGTTTTTCTTTGAGTTAGATGAGTCCCCCACCCAGGTCAATGCTTCTTTTCATTGTCGAGGATCTGTTCTTTGTTCACAGCCAAATCCTGCCGAGATCTTACAACGTATTCTTGTCGAGTTCCCCGGCGCAAGGTTTCAGTCTCGTCAGGACCATGATCTAGGAAGCATAGACCCAGTTGACATCTGCCAGTCTTGTGGGTTCTTCAGAAAGCGTGTTGCCTTTCGGGTCGCCAGCCTGGACGAGAGGGTCTCAATTGAAATTGCCAATGATAGCTTTCGCGAAAGGATCGGTGGTTTCCCCAAATCGGCGCAAGAATTCCTGGATGAGCAAAAGGTTTACGCTCATTTCGGTCGCGCAGATCATCAAAATCTAGAATGGCCACGGCGAAGATCTTGTTACTGCTTTTGTGGTTCGAAGCGACTAGTCCACTTCCTGGAACCCACTTTGGAGCAGAAAAGACGCCGGTTATGAGCTGGGTGCAGATTTAGTGCGGCGCTTATGTCAGGTAATAAGTAGAAACAAAATTCAGTTAGATCACGACGGGATATCCCGATGAATGTAAGACGGTGTACGTGTACTCTGGCAAGAGTAGGGACAATTTAAAAAAATTCATATTCAGATTAGATAGTCTTAATCCGAGCTGCGCTATGTCATCTCGTTATACTCGTGCCATGTGCACACCCTATGGTCACACCCGTTCGTGAAACCCGGGAAGCGCGAGGAGGGAACGCGCAAAGAAAACGATAGCCGCGAAGTCACTGGATGACCGAAAATCATGCGCCGTCTCCAATCTAACGCCTATTGGGATTGCAGTACAGCTGGCACCGAAAAACATTGCTAATTCATCAACAGAGTAGCTTGGCACTATGCTGGTGCTGGCCTACGACTAAAAGTTCCGGGGCCCGTCAACGTTGGTGAGTATGTGAGGAAAGGGAGCCGTTCGAAAAATGCTCAAGAACACCAATCCACTACTTTCGCCCATGCAATGAATTTTCGGTTTCTATAAAGCGACCCACCCCCATCCCAACCTCAGTTTCGGAAAGTAGAAAAATACGAGACGTAGTCCGTCTGCAACCAACATGAACCCATTTCAAAAACAAGTTCCCGGTTACTCTGGCGACAACACTTCCAGTATCTATAGTCGAT